CTGGACGGTTATCCTGAGGCTTTATGCATCGGAAGGCCATGGTTTAAAGGGGAAAAACCCCGATTTCACATTGCAGCCATATGGGGTGATACATTCCGCCTCCTAAAAAGAGGTCCATGCCAGAGGTAAACATTGGGACACAGTAATAGATGAGGTCTTCAAATGGCCACAGAGTCTGCAGCACACTGACTTCATCTTAAGTCTGGTCTGCACATGTGAAAAAGACAATAAATAAGCCCAGTTTAATAAGACTGTTTCATTTTCAAAACTTTATTTATCTATTAAAAGGTCATTGAAAGCAATTTCCTATTTCACATTTAGAAACATTCAAACGTTGGAACTTCTCAGTACAATCACAGATGCCACTTTGACTTGGTTTGGGAGAAAAGACAACATTTACTCACAAAGAAAACCTAATAGTTCATTTTAACCTGACAGATGACAGGCCAACCCCAACTCAGTAAATGAGGGGTATTTCTGGGGAGAGTTTTTTCTCTTCATTGGCAGGAGTAACGTCATTTTAAGGATGGAAACACAATGAAGTGTGATGGTGATGTGATGTGTTTAGCGAGAGGATTTCAAGGCCTTGGTTTCTATGGCGTCACAGTATCATATGGCTAAATCCCGCTGGGATGTACAGAGAAGGAAAGTGTAGATAGACACAAAGAAGTGAAGAAAGGTAAATCATGAATTTGCGTCCGTGATGAAATTGTCCAAGTACTACTGCTGTTTTTGTGTCACATTTCGAAAAATTCAAGAGAAATGAATGGAAACCAGATTTAGCATTGACAGTTTGCCTATTAATGCTTCTCCACAAAACTGTACTATAGTTTCTAATGACAAATGAAATATATTGAGTTTAGATGGAAACATTAGGTAAGGAAATAGCAAGTTCACAAGTTCAGTGGGTGTTCTGACCAGAAGCGTGTTATTAGCTTTTAAAGGGAAATGAATTATTTTTTGGTTATTTCAACAGTAGAGAGGATTAACAGAACTTAAAGAAATAGAATAGAAGGAACTGACCCCACTCTCTGCTGGACAGTTTGGTGGTCTGAACTGTCTCACCTTCTGACACTTGAAAAAAAGCAATTTGTCTCTGTGCTGGGGGGCTAGCTAAAACAAAAACATTGTTATCACGATTAATCAGCGGCTCTGTCATCAGGTCTGAGGTGAACAGAAAGTGGCACAAATGACTGGATGGAATTTGTGGTGTGTCAGATGGAATAAAGCGGCAATAGATGCAATCCTTCTCTCACATTCACTGACCATTCACCCAGCTATTCCCGAGAAAGCTTGTCCTAGTGGGCTTATATGCCCCATCATTCTCTGCAACACAGGCTGCAATGAAATGACTTTCCAGGTCTGTGTAGGTGATGCACTTTGGGATTTTAAAGGTTTTCACATTCAGCCTTATGAAATGCAACATGTGCCATTGTGTTTTTGTGAATTATAGCATTTTTAAACAAACCCTTTTGGTTTTCAATCAGGCACCTGTGCCCATCTGAGACTGATTCTTTTTTTTTTTGGCATGCATGCACGTACAATTTAACCTCCAATTCAAATTACTAAAAACATACTCTGTATATATCATCCCAATTGTAAATTTGAATCTCAGCATTTAACGCGGACAGCAAGCCCTTCTTCGGATAAAGAAAATGCGATGTGATTGAAAGCTCCAGAACAGCTACTAAATTGGACCTTGTGGTAAGATGATTTTAGGTCAAGAATAAACTCTGGATCTCATTTTGTCAGTGCTTTTCATTGTTTATCTGCAGCGTGGTGCTTTAAAGGCAAAAAAAAGAAGAAAAAAATCTTCCCGACTTTCCATTCCCAAACTAGAACACATGACCAATGTTCACTTCTTCCTCATTTTTTTTAACATTCCCTTTCTCAAAATATGAGTACTTTATACTGGGCTGAAAAGCACCAAATACAAAAAAAGAGAGGTGAAAGTGAAGAAATACATTTTCTCTTGTGCCCCAGGAAAAACTTATGACTTCTCTAAAGAATAGATAAGACACCCCGAATGTATCTGATGAGACACAAATGACAAATTCCAGGATATTAGAGGCAATGCAATAAAAAGTCTGGCTAGTGATTACATGGACATTATTTGAGGCTTCTGGATTTCAGCACTGTAATCATAGTGTAGCCTATTTATAACATCTTGTAACTGACAATCCAGCTCAAACTCTGTGATTTAAAGCAGGTTAACACAGTCTTTTGTCAGCAGACTCCATCCTTTTAGGAGACAGTGTTTGCAACAAAGGCTGCCTCTAACGCCATCTTGCCTGAAGAGGTCATTTGGTCTGATGCCTTTCACTCCACGTAATATAAACTTCCTCACCGCAAGCTGCTCACAAACAGCATAAATAAACAACCGCGGGACAAATCAGGGTTTGGAACGAGTTAGGGCTCACAATTTCAACATGAGAGTTTGTTTGTTCAAATTTGCTCGCACTGTGACCTAACTCCTTTATACTCAGCACATGTGTGGAAGAGGGCATTTGAAGGCGAACATAACAGAGAGGGGAAAAAGCAGAAAAATCCATATTTTTCCAATATGCAGACGGGGCTGTTCATCAGGCAAAGTTTGACACATGTCTTTGAACAGAGTTTGAAACAACAACTTGGTGGAAAAACTTTTAAAAAATGGAGTAGGAGGCTTTGGCTAAACAAATGTCATTTTTGGACGCTGCTGTAGGGAGGATGAGAAAAGGAAAGATGATGAAAAGAATGAAATGATACATTCCTTAGAATCTAACTCACTGCCTCGCTGTTTCCTGAGCTTGATTAGAGGGATGCAGTGACTCGAGGGTACATTAAGATTAAGATCTCGGCTGTCCAGAGGGAATTAGAAAAAGGAAGCTATATGGGTGCCTTTATCAAATGTGACATTGGTTTTTATAAGAGGGAGTCTCATTACAGCCTATGCTTATACCATGCAGCCATCCAACTACAACACTGTTTGCCATGGTTACAAAGGCCACTTTGTAATCAAAAGGTCACCAGTTTGACCGACGTGAGGGCCGATACAAGTTGCTATCGTGAATTAAATATTTCTCTGCTTGATTGTTATTTAGTACAATGCAGTTTCACCCTTTTTTTGTCCTATTATTCTAATGAAATGAGCTCTACAGTATTGCTTACTTTGACCAAGAAGGTGAAACACAAACATATGGGTTTTTAGTATGTCAGTGTTAAAGGGGTTTCATTCAAGAAATGAATTTTAAAAATATTTGCATGTTTTTAACTCTCATTATTAGTGCTGAAAGTTTTTAAATGAAAGTAAAAACTGTATTTTTCGTCAGAAGGAAATCAGTTTGGGTTACATGTGATATTCTGCCTGTAAAGACTGGCTTAATTATTGCTTTGTTGCATGATTCTGTAATATAAATTGCTGGTTTTATTGACTTTTTCACTACTTACTGTTGAGATGTTTGGATTGTCTGTATAGATTCTCATTCACCTGGGTCACAGTCATCTAAAGCAGCGATCCCCAACCTTTTGTGCTTAACGGACCAGTTTATGTCCAACAATATTTTCACAGACCGGCCTTTAAGATATCACGGATAAATACAACAAAATAAAACCAGTACCGGTACAAAAAAAAAGAAAAGAAAAAAAAAGGGGGGATTTATTCATAACACACGGGAAAAGACCCAGGGAAACTGAGTTAAGGATGAAAACGATTTTAAAAAATTACAGTAAAAACTCTGAAAACCACAAATTTCACACCTGAGCCTCAACTCTTGCGGCCCGTTACCAAACGACTCAGGCTGGGCCGGGGGCTGGGGACCACTGATCTAAAGTGAATGGGAGTCGAGGGCAGTTGAACAATCTGGACGTACTTGTGAGTCACAGGCATGTTGAAACCACCTTCACTAGGACAACAGTAGAGGTTATATACTACCGATCAGCTTTTAGAACTGAAGAAGCTTTTTGAATGGTGTTCATCAGAACAATAAACTGGATTGGACTCACAACTCAAATGCCCTGTACAGGAAAGGGCAGAGCAGGCTGCATCTGCTGTGGAAGCTCAGGTCTTTTGGAGTCAAGGACCCACTCCTGAAGACCTTCTATGACTCTGTGGTAGCCTCAGCCATATTTCACGGTGTGGTCTGCTGGGGACAGAAACAGACTGAACAGGCTGATCCGGAGGGCCAGCTCTGTTCTAGGATGCTCTCTGGACCCAGTGGAGGTGGTGAGTGACAGGAGAATGGTGGCTAAGCTGTCATCCCTGTTGGATGCAATCTCCCACCCCATGCAGGAGACTGTGACAGCACTGAGCAGCTCCTTCAGTGGCAGACTGCGGCACCCATGATGTGGGACAGACAGATTTTGCAGGTCTTTCCTTCCATCGGCTGTCAGACTCCACAACAGAGACCAAACATTGAGTTGACCAAACACGTGCAGACACACACGCAATACCAATAAGTGTAATTATTTTTGACAACATAGCATTTTATTCTATTTTATATAGTATGTTATTCTTTTATCTCATTCTATTTCATTATTTTTCTTAATTTTTGCTGCTGTAACTTTGAACTGTCCACTTTCTGCTGTGACACAACAAATTTGGGACTAATAAAGGTTTATCTTATCTCATCTTAAAAGAAGGACTATTGAGGAAGACTATCAAGAAACAAAAACAACAATAAGCCTTCAAAAAGAGAAAATTAATATTAAGATGAACTCAATTCTGCTCAGTATTAATTTTAGCTTTCTGTAAGCTCAATGGTGCGGCCCTCAACAATAATCCTAGCTTCTCATGTGGCCCTTTAAGAAAATTAATTGCCGACCACTGCCTTAGATAGATCAGCAGTGTATCATACGGTCAATTTATATAACCACCACGCTCTCTCAGATCGACCAGAGGAAACAGACAGCTGAGCAGAAGGCTCACATCCTGCACTTGCTTCCTGAAATGCGACGCTATTACACATTTCAGCACCATGCTGACAATAAACTGTATAAAAGAAAATAATTTAAACACTGTATTTTTGGTGAATATTTTTATGCTAAAGGCATTATACTCACAAAACCATTTTCTTGATGATGTTCAAAACACTGCATTTGTTTAAAAAAAAGAAAAAAAAGAAAAGAAACTTTGATTCCTAGAATCACTTTCAAAATACAAAGATTTAGACCAGCGCAACATTACAAGAACATTACAACATGTTTCAAACCTAGAGCAGCTGTTAGCATCAAGATCCAAAAGTATGTGAGACTGCCCTGAGACGACGTGTCAAACGTAGCAACTACAGTCTTTTGCTTGTCAAACACATTTGCAGACTGCTGCGGGGCAACCATGAAAATTTACACGACTCCAAGCTATGATCCTGATGATGGATTGTTCTGTTTAGCTGTCTTGTGTAATTGTTGATCAGACAACCTTAGCCTTCAAATGTGGCTTATGACCAAAATGTTTTACCCCAGTGTTCATCACCCTTAAAGGTCGTGATCTTTTGCACTTTGACATACTCTGCAGCTTCTTCTTTATTTCATTTCTGCTTTGAACGCTTTAATGGAGGAGTTTCTGAAGATGTGCTTGCTGCTTTTTTTTTAGAATCCTTATCATCAGGATCATAAAGAGCACTCCGGACGAAGCGTGCAGCAGCTCCCTTATCCAGACGGGCAGCTTTTTTCTTCTCTGTGATCTCTTTCACTCTGTTCATATATGTCCTTATTCGCTCCTGAAACAACAGGATGGTTACTGAGGAATTAGACAATACATATGAATCCATGTGAGCAAATAATAAGTCAGAGATAGATGGCACATACCAATTCCTGTTTGATTCCATGTTCTCTGGGATTTATCCCTTGTGTTACCAAGTACACTGAGTAAGATAAAAAATAAAGCCACATGTCCACACTTTCCACACAAAATGACATCCATGTATGGAAAAGTTGTAATGTATTTGTCTCTTCAGTATGCTTTCGCTAAATGTATCTATATTCAACAAGATATAAAGATTAGACAAAATAGGGAAAAAACTCACTCCAGAATAATGAATTAAGGGTGTAGGCAGACATCAGATCCAACTTGGCTTGATCCAGAGGATCCAACTGTTAATGAACCAAATTGTATTTTATTTATAGCCTCCTGCATACGACAGATTAGTATCACTTTTTTCATTAAATGTATTTGTAACATATTCAATGCAGTATTGTTTCACTGAATAAAATTTTGCTCTATAAAAGAAAATAAATATGAACACACTAGCCACTTTATTAGGTACATCTTCCTAGCATTGGGTTTTGACATCCTTTGCCCCCAGAAGTGCCTTAATTCTTCATAGCATAGATTTAACAGGGAGGTGGAAACATTGCTCAGAGTTCTGGTCCATATTGATATAATAGCATCACACAGCTGGTGCCGCTATGTCAGCTGTACATCCATGAGGTGAATCTCCTGTTCCACCACATCCCAAAGACAATCTGTTTCACTGAGATCTGGTGACGATGGAGGTCATCTGAGTACAGTGAACTAATAGTCATGGCAAGAAACCAGTTTGAGATGATTTACGGACATGGAGTGTTACACTGCTGGAAGCAGCTATCAGACGATGCATACACTGAGGTCATAAAGGAAAAGACATGGTCAGCAACAATACTTAAGTAGGCCGGCACTTCTGTTGTTGTCTTCTGTTCCTGTCACCCATCAGCTGCCATGTTCAATGTGTTGTGTGTTCAGAGATGCTCTTCTGCATACCCTTACTGTTGTCTTCTTATGAGCCTGTGGCAGTCTGGCCATTCTCCTCTAACATCTGGCATTAACATGACATTTTCACCCAGAGAACAGACAATCACTGGATATTTTCTATTTTTTAGACCATTGTATGTAAACCATAGAAATGATTGTGATGGAAAATCCCAGAAGATCCGCAATTTTCTGAAATACTAAGACCATGTCTCATCCCCATCTCAGTTGTTTTTCTTGACCATGTTCACATTCCTAAATTGATTGAGCTATTGGCACATTAAATAATCTGTTACCAAGTATCTGACCATGTGTTTCTAACAAAGTGGCCGGTGAGTGCACGAGTGTATACAGATAGTAGGTACGCACAAGAACAAATCTAAGCCAACAAAAAGACCAAAGTACCCGATGTGTATAATAGTATTAGGCCTACCTTTTGCAGCAGGTCATTTCTAGGCATCGACATCAACTGCTCCAAGATGGTTTTAACTGAAGTCACTGACGAGTCGAAGCCCGTGAGCTGTTCATCTATCTCGTGAGGGTAGTCCTCTGCGGCCATATTTCTGTAAAATAATTGAATAATTACAACGTCGTGTAACTTTCCTATAAGGACTATTTCTCATTAGAAGAACAGAAAAACAATAGCAATATGTCCAGGGAGAGAGCTAGCATACAATGCTAACAGGAAACCAAACTAACGTTTAGATAAGCTGAGGAAAGTGACAAAAGGGATAGATGTACGTTACTAATTACTGATTTAATAGCAAAACTGGATCACTGTAAATTAAATCTAACAAAACAAAACAAACTCACATTTTTACCCTGTTAGCAGACAACACGCTTTAGCCGACAGGAAATGACGTTAAAACTGTGACCTAGTCGTCTTCGTTTTCCTCTTCGCTCCTCTACCGCCGTCTGCCGTTGGGATGAGTGGAACAGCTAGTTATCGTTAGCTAAATATTTTTATTTTTTTCAGCATGATAACAATTTTATTTGCAGTTTTCTATATTTTGTTTAATAACAATACCCCCTTTTGTATAACCGTGTGTATTCTCTAAATCGACGCTATATTCCTTATTATTGACTTTTGACACATTTTTTTTAAGCAAGGGTCTAAACGAAAAACTTCTTTAAGTATCAGCTGTTGTTTTTATTCCTGTTAAACGCCCAAATGTATTTAAAATACTCATATGTAGTAGTAACTTAATATCTAAATACAACAGAAGTGGTCATGTTACTGTGGTAACGTGGGGCGTCAGTGTGGTAAATAAAACTGAGCGCGCTGGGATGGGACAGCAGTTTAAGTGCTGTGTTTTGGGACTGTTGTAGCTCAACCCAAGCAAGCTATAAAGAAGACGCCCGAGTCATCATGGATAACTGTGATTTAGAGAAGCTCTGTGTTTCTGCTGGGAAGCTCCGTCCATCGTTCACACCTGAAGTCACAGACTACAAAGTGACTGTGGAGAGCAGCGTCAACGAAGTGACACTGGACGTGATGACAAGCGATTGTGGGGCTTCATATAGTATTGTGAGCAAGCTTTATGCCTTCTATTTCTCAATTCAAGTCTCTTTCGCATCTAATTTAGCCTTGTGATTTCTATTTCAGCTCTTTGGTGAAAGGTCTAACACGATTACACTGAAAGATGGGTTGAACAGAGTAGGAATCGAGGTGGTAGCTGAGGATGGCACCATAAAGAAATACAGTGTGGAAATCACCAAACTGTCAGCAAAGATCGCAGAGCTCAGTAACCTGGCTTTGGAAGGAGATATTTCACTTCACCCCGCGTTTTGCTCCAACGTTTTGGAATACAATAGTGAGTACAGCCTATCTGTGTTAAAGAAGAAGTTGTATGTGAAATGTATAAGTCTTTGTTTTGTTTTCTATTTCAATTGATACACAAAAGCAGCCGCAGCAGTAGACATGTAAATGTATGTATAAATATGCTACTTTGTAAGTGAATATTATTTAAAAATGCAGAGACATAAAAGGTTTGCAGTATTTCTCAGTTTACAAAATAAATTGTTGTGTGCTTTTCTGGGGATTTTTGCCTCCAGATACTGTTCCCTTTTGTTGTAATTCAGTGACACTCCTTCCTGAGGTGCCTGACAGAGGCATTAAAGTTACAGTAAATGGGGTGAGCAGCTCGGAACCAGTCCCTCTGAATTTTGGAGACACAGTGGTGGAGATTTCAGTCTGTTCACCAGATGGCAGTGTTTCACAGGTATAATAAGACATGGCTAGTGGTCAAACTTTATATATGCATCCTAGCTTTGAAATGCTTTGAAACTCATCATTATCCACCTGATAACATATAGTTTTCTTAATTTTTAAACTTCATATGCTTTTAGCATAGCTTTTGCTTCTGTGTAATGAAACTTATTAGGAATTTGAGTCTTTTTAAAGGTCTCTGTTGGAGCCCTAATAACTCCTGCACATGAGTGGATCCATCTGCTTTGTACCCATACATTTATCGCTAAGTGCTTTCTACAGGCCTTTGTCTATCAATCACAGGTAAGTCTTGAAACAACTCACACATATTGCAAAACATATTCGCCAATAGTCACATCTGTTACTTATCCTTTGGTTCATGCTGAATATTAATTCGCAAATGAATGATGTGTTTCCTTTATATAAAAAAAATAGTATAATATATAGCAAATCACCTTTCACACATTTGTTATTTTGCTAAATTGTAGTGAACCAAAGAGCATCTTCTCAAGGCCTTATATTGAGATGCTTGCCCGAAGGTCAAAAGTTGACCCACTTAGTGACTGTCCTCTTGGAGACGGCTGGAAGGTTATTGAACTGGACCTTGACAAGAAGATGTCAGCTGCCTTGGTCAAGTGTTTCTTTTTTCACAGAGGTGAAGCATTTCAAACATATTAGTTTAAAGCTACTGGGAAGAGTGGATGTTCTTATTCTGGATGTTCAGATAGGAGGAGGTTGTGTTGTTCTTAAAGAGAGCTAGTAGATTCCTGAACTTCTAGTACAATGAATGTCACATCAATGAATAACAAATGAAGCCACTGCCCTAATATGGATTCTTTGAGTTACTTCATTATTTCCACACCTATAGGAAATGCTTACAGCTACATTGTTGACAGGTATCTTACCTCTTAGCAGAAGTGATTACACAAGCTATACTATCATGTAACATGATGTAGTACTGTAGACAACGATCATGTTACTCTAATGACAGGGGGTATTATTACTTAACTAAAACCTTGTGCCACTAACTGTCATGGGACAAAGGCTGGATTTTATATCAGGCCTTTATGTTCAGAAGATCTGGCTTGCTTACTCAGGTGTGTATTTCTAAATAATCAAGGCTTCTCTTAAATTGTTTAATTTAGGTAAAAGTACAAATAAAGTAAAATTGTATTTATATAGCATCTTCCAAGATAAATATCACAATATGGCTTAAAAGACATACATAACTGATCATCTGTCATTCTCATAGCAGTGAAGGAAAATGTCCTTAAATTGCAAATGGCAGTTTTATTTATATACAACATTTCAACCTTAATATGCTTTATAAACGCCCCTTAACAGAACTTTGAAGCAAACTGTGATGAAGAGAAGTAGAAGAAAACGTGTTTAGAAGCAGCCACAGAAAAAGATCGATTAGAAAGATACGACCATAACAAAAAGACCCAGAAACACCCGCCCAGTATCTCAGCCTATCTCAAGCCTTTTGCACCCGAAGGGACAGATGGACTGAAAGACATTTTTGAATAAAGATGCAGGTAAAATATCGAGAGTGCAGGAGCATGCTTTCATCGAGTCAACTAATTGCTAGTTTGGACACATTGCCTAGGGGGAGGTTGCATGGGGAGCAATTCTACAGATTTGTTAAATAACCTGACAGCTAAATCCATCCCGGTCCACCTCTAATGAGCTTTTTTCCCCTTTTAAACAAAGGGTGTGACACTACGATGAAACTGTCTGAGCTTGGGTCACACATTCTGGACTGTTTACATAAACCCACTGGGGACCTAGATGCAAAGGTCAGTGTAAAAGATTAAGCAGTAACCTCCATTGCCAGAATCGCTGACTTTGACACTGTTTATCCTTTATTTACAAGACAGTGCTCCATTTAACTGTGAGTAAACGCAAGTTTGAATTCCATAGTAAAAGTAATGACCACATTTATGGTGAACGAGTCAATAAAATAGTAGTTTTTATTAACCATGTATAATTTTTACATTTCAGTAATTGCTAGAATGACAAACCCAGTTCTGTATATTCAGCACAGTCACCTTGTCAGCTTTATCAATGGAACCTGGTAAAGGCACTTTATAAAATCTTTATTTGTGATACAATCAGGATACTATTTCTTTTAGGATGTAACAGAGACAAATTGGTATAAGAAGCACTTTGAATCAGCCAAATGTCTGGAGACAGAGACCAAACACACCTGTGAGGTAATAAGCTGTACTGGGTATTCCTTTCAGTGTCCAGTTAGTTAATATTCTGACTGATGTTGATGATACACAGCAAACCTAAAAACCTAAAATTACTTATTGCCATAGTTCTAGCTTGTGGTGAATGTGGGAAATCGAGGACCTTTATAGTTTACCCACTTAAATGAAAAGTATAAGTTATAATATGGCTCATATCACTACTCCTACTGTATCTGTTTAAGCTTTCCTGCTTGGTCTATTTTCTACTACAGATTCGTAACTGGGAGAAAAGACTACAAATGACAGCAGCAGAAGACAGTGTTGACAAGTTGTGTGCTTTGGCCCAGGAGCACCTGAAACTCTACAGGCAACATCTGCCAAAGCCAGGCATGTAGCACTTTCACGCCTACATTTTAACACTTTGTGAATTATTATGCTGCATTGTAAGATGGTGATCCAAAACAAAATGTGGGTCAGACAAGAGTGTAAAGCTATTATAATACAAACTAGAAAGTCAGAAAAAAAAACCAAATGCATTTTTTCACCTGGTACTTTTTATAAAGTGCTGACTAGTCTGTCCAAATTTCCATCTGCCCTAATGCCGAATGTCTGTAGTTGCCTTTATTTTTAAACAGGCTATTTACTGATTATTTAAAAATACTGTGGAGCAAAGGGACTTTTTCCTTGCCTTACCTTGACAACACAGCTCAGCTTAAAGCTAATAAAAAATACATGAAAACAGGCTGCTAAGTGGCTACTTCTGAAGCGTTCTCTTTTATTTGACATGCCAGACACTCACACTCAAGTTTGTGCTCATGTTTTCTCAGCTATCTTTGCCTTGCTAATTTTTTTGTGACTGAAAAGTATCAAAATGAGAATGAGTGTCATGAGGGTTGTTAGTAAAAAAGTGTTGATTTTTGACCTTTCATTTTTCATGTGGCCTGGTGAAACGTTTTCATTTTTAAGATGCTGTTTGTTGCACATTAACATTAGCTCAATGCTTCTGTCAGACTCAAAAATTTCATCAGCTAAAATGACTTTTCTGCTATGTAGCATATATCAGTTATAAAACAGCAAATGCTGAATGGGTCTGCTTGTTGGATTATGTAATGTACCAGAGAATATAACCAATTAAAAGCTTGACATCAGTGCACTTGGACAGAAAAAGGACGCACTTGCCAAGGGAAGATACTCTCTTTCAATATTTCATGCAAAAGGCGCATCCAGTACTCGGTAAAGAGAAGGCAGCTAGATGGGAGAGTCTGTTTAGTTTTCATTATGCATTGTGCTGTGAAGTATTCATGCTTGGATGAAACTGTCCTTTAATAAACTGTTCAAAATGAGCTCACTTCACAAAGCACACAATACCTTATCCAAGTTTTTTTTTATTTTTCTGATACTCAATACAGTTGGAATGAAATGTATTAAATTGGAGAGTCAAAATTGCTGTACTAAGATTTACTTCCATATGAATTTTATTACTGCTACTACTAAGTACTACTAAGTGACATGATACGTGCTGAATTCTTTATAATTCCTGGAACAAAACACGATCATCAGGTTTACACTGCTGCTGGTTGCTGACAGCGTTTTGAGCATGCCACCAAATACAATCCAAAGAATTACAAAAATAGTTAAATTCAAGTCAGCGGATTATAAAGGGCTTAATTACTTAATAAAATTCGAAACTAAAGCCAATATTCATGACGCATGCTGTGTACTGATTAAATCAGTTTCTCTAAATACTTCAAGCTATGTTTATATGTGTAAGATCAATAAAATTGCTAGTGGTAACAACAGCCAACAGCATTTTATTCTTCTCACATTAATAAACACATTTAGACAGTGTTCTTAAGCTCAACCAAATACTTAAACTAGACACACTTATGGTAAAATTGTAGATAAGAAGTCTATTGTAAGTTTGGTTTGATCTTACATTTGAACTGAAGGGGGTTTTAAATGGGTCTTTAAAACTCTTAAATGTAATGTCATCCTGCGGCGATGAAAAATGTTGTTTGCCAGTACTATATAATCTATATAGATGCAAATTCTCTCATATATATGCAAATCCTCTGGTCTCTCTGTCAGATGTGTACCACAAAACAGTGTTTTATTTTCCCATTTCCACAGGAGACCTGTTGCACCATGAAGATGGCCAGTCTCCTCTGCATAGCCTGGAGCAGGCTGCTGTCCACTATGCATCAGCTATCAGACTTAACTCCAGAGATGCCAGGCTTCACTTCCAGCTGGGTCTCGTGCTGGAGGAGCACCATTACGCTACAGAGATGTACAGCCTACAGAGGAAGGTGTGGTACTATTATACACAAATAAAAGCTCTCTATGCAGCATATTAGTTGTATTAAAACAATGAAAAAAATTACTGAAGGTTATTTTAATCAGAATTGCATAGTAAATAACATGCTAATTTTAAATTAAAATATATGGTCAATTACAGCTGAAATGTCAGTTAACAACATTGCTTTGATGTTGCAGTACACACTTTCATTATTCATAAGCATGTGGAAGTTTATGAAATGTGACAAAGCTTTCAGAAAATATAAAAATAGTACTTTTTTGCCAGTTTATTGTAAATCAGTTGTCTTGTTGATTTTTGAGTTGAAAGCTAATGAACCTCGCATGTTTCAACTCAAAGGCTGACAAAGAGAGAGATGAATTAAGTGATGCCAAATCAACAGCACATCAGGATGACATCTTGGCTGTGTGTAAACTGCACGGTTTCCTTGGAACACCCACAGTAGAGAACCAGCTGCAGGCTCTGGATAAAGAGTATCATCTGCTCAAAGAGCAGGGACAGTCCAGCAAAGCAGACTATGTTCAGACTCTCTACATCTGGCTTTCTAAGAAAACTGGCAAGGTAATTGTGTCATATGCTGTCAGTACCTCTGCTTCTATTGCTTGAGGAAACTGTTTTATCTGATAGTGATGAAAAAGATTAGTGAGGGGCCAGTACAGACAGACTATCGCCCTCTTCCTAACATCAGTACAACTTCTCTTTGACTTATGAGTGATCTGTTAGAATGTAAAACCACCCTAACCCTTTTGTAAACAATATTCAGTTCAGCATCTCAGAATATTACTGTTAACATTTCCACAGGCTCTTCAAACACACTTAAGTCGTCACAGAGCTGAATTTTATTCAGCTGAAGATCTTGATGTTTTTCATTGCTAGTTATAGAAATCAGTATCGTTCCAGATACTTCCGTTCTGCATTCACTACCATGGTAAATATAGATATTGTTCTGTATGGTTGTTTTTAGTCTAAGCATCTATGACTGTTACTTATCATCAATAAACTTGGACTTGGTGGTTGCAGGACATCAGTGCAACTATGCAGGATAAAGAGAGCTATATCCACCGAGCCCTTCTGAAGTACCTGGATGCCTGGTCTCTGTGCCCAGAAAGCTGGGAGTACAGCCTCCATGCAGGAAGGCTGCTGCTGCTGCAAGGGAGGGAAAGGGAAGCCCTGCTGCACTTTCACAATGGGCTGGCCCTACGACCCCTACACCCTGCACTCAGGTCAGTTTGCAGGATTGTACATACGGTAGTAGAAGAAGGAAAAATATTGTAATACTAATAGTAACTTGTAATAGTAACAAGAAACTAGATTAAAGAAGCTGATTAAATATTGCAGAGTTAGGAAGCTGTGCAGCTCTCACTGTGATGTCACTGTGACATAGATAGAAATAGATTAGATATCAGCCAGAAAATCAATGCTGAAACTCACAGAGGTCCACTGAAAAATGATACTAACAATTATTTAGTCTGCTGGTAACAGCTTAAAAGCAAGAGTTTGACAATCTGTTGCTCAGCTACTGAGTTTCTGGTAATCAAGAACAAAATACAGAGAGGTTAAAATATGCGCATCCTTTCTGTGGCTGTGTAAGAGCAGGTTTGAAAAAGCCCTTATTCTCCTTCTTAAATTCTCACTCCATGATAAGCCCTCTATCATATAACCTTTCTAAGATTAGACTGTTAAACAGGGTAAACTGGGTCTAGATTCTAAACATCTAAAAACTAGATCAGAGCTCTTCAATGTGTGCTGCCTTCCTTTTTTCCAGATTCTTCGCAGGCCTGGGTCTGCTACTGCAGGAACAGAAAGCCTCTGAGGATGCAGAGAAGGAGGCTGCTTTGTTCTTACAACAGGGACTGGAGCACTTTATCAGCCAGCGCTGCAGCAAGAGGTGTGTGTGTGTGTGTGTGTGTGTGTGTGTGTGTGTGTGTGTGTGTGTGTGTGTGTGTGTGTGTGTGTGTGTGTGTGGTGGAGGTGGAGGTGGATATATTCAGTGAGAGAGGGAGAGTGTGAGGCCATGACAGCAACAATAATATACCAGCTTGTTCTGTTTAAGCCTGTCGAAAGGAGAGGTAACTGATTGAAAGAGACCACTATCATCTACAGAAGCACATTGATACACTTTAAGTTGTGTCATCTATAGAGTTATAATGGCTGCTTCGTGCTTGTACTGCCATATATTTTATGATTTTGTTTACAGCTGGGAGGAGCAGGATCTATCGGACCCTCTGTCCAGCCGCAACACACAGTTCCTACGTGGCCTTCTTACTCTGGGGCAACTGCAGCAGAGAAGCACATTATGCACAAAGGCCATGAGTGCTGAACAGGTCTATCATATGTATGCAAAACTTTGGGAGTTTTTATTTTTTGCTGGTTTTATTATTCGGGGTTTGCAGTGGATATCGGCTCTAACGAGCTGTCTCACTCATCTCAGCAGTGAATGTGCGATCCAAAGAAAAGTCCTGTCATTTAAGAGTAGAAGCCAGTTTAGCTGTTTTAACCACTACATAAAAACACTGTCTTCTTGTCTCTGTGCTGGACTGCTTCAGTGTGGCAATGCTGAGTGCCCAGAGTGTGAGTCAGTGTGTACGTCGTGGTGAGGTGAGCAGGCAGCTGGAGTGGGTGCTGCTGGATGCTCACTTTGCCCTGCTGCAGAGGCTGACCCAGCAGAGTGAATGCCAGGCTAAGACTGGCATTGAGAGGCAGTCTCTGGTGGCAAAAAGATGCCAGGCCCTCACAGCTCTAATACGTCACACCTCTATCACTCCCTGTCAGGAACTTCTTGACATGCAGGAAAGGGTATGTTGAGCTTTCTTTTTTACGAGTGCAGGGTACCTAATCCATAGAGTGACTGTTAATATCCAAGAGTGTTTCGTGTGACATAATTCAGACTTTTTTTCTCTTCCGGTTTCTTTACTGCTGGTGCATGAAGACGTGCCACCTTGCAGTAGTAACCACACCGCGTGACAGCCATGCCCTTTGTCTCTTGGGTCTGGCACAGCTGGCTCAGTACGACAATAACCCAAATTCAGAAAGGTCAAAGGAAGCTATAAGTGATGCCTTTCTCAGCCTCCAGGCCAGCATTGAGCTGGAACTCAAGACTCAGATTGGAGAGCCACCTGAACAGCTGACCAGTGAGTCTCTGTACATTAACTAAAGTGAGCTTTTCCAGAGAAGATGGTTTTCCCAGCAGCTTGCAGTGGTGCACTTCTTTTCACTTGTGAGGTGAATAAAGCTGGTTTACCTGTAATGTGTAGAAAACTACATAAAAATAAAGCAGAATTGTAGGCCTGACCCCAGCCAGATGAACCAGCTTCCTCCACCTTACAAGTGGGAGGAAGGTCACCACCGTAGGCTGCTGGCAACACCATGGGTCCTTTTCATTATGCTAATGTGCCTCCTCACTTCCTTCACTTGCATTTCTTGCTCCCAGCAAGGATGTGAGAGAGATGAGAGGAAGCGATGCCAAGATGCAAGAATCAAAGCTGCCAAATGAAAAATCCTTGCCTCCATAGTGTCGGTCTCAAGTTATGTTAGTTACTTAAGAAGGTTCACAGCTGCATCACTGAATGATATGAATGTCCACAGAACTTCTAATATTATAATTTCTTGTCTTTTTTCTCATAAGATATGTTCATTGATTAATGTATCTTAATTTTAGTGGCATTATTGCCAGTGTTGATTTTAGTCATATAGAATTCGTTTTAAATATTTTAATTTATGGAAAGGTCAGTGTCATAAACCTGTTTCATAGAACCCCCAAAATGGTAATCATAGCCCCTCATGTCCTTCAGGTACATTTACGGAACTGGAAGATCTCCTGTGATGGTCTTTAGGAAACAATTTCCATGCTATGGGAGGAGAGGGGATGCAAGAAAGCATATGTTAGCATAATGAATGAAAAGGACCTGATATTCTCTAGCAAACATACTTCATTGACATCTCTGGTGGTCATGTAACTTTTATATTCCATGTCTTGTGCTTGTATTTCATGCCAGAATTATTACTTCCTATCAAACTGATGATTGTGTTTCAATGAATGTTCTGTTATTTCTTCCAATAGGCTGGTGTTTTTAACACATTTTTAATGTAGCCTTTTTGGAATTTAACTTTTCCTCACCATTACCTGTTTGCTCAGAACAAAAGTGGTGGCAGGAAAAGGTGGAGGTTAAAACTAAGGAAGCTGCCAAGCAGTCCATCACCCAACCAGCTGGTGTAAAGGAGACTTGTGACATCAAATTGGCAAAAAGAGGAGTGCAGCAGAGCAGGGGAGGTTCTAGGTGTGTAGCAGTAGCTGTAACCAAAGCACCAGCTCCAGCTCCCACCAGGGGAGGGAAGGCTGTCCGGAATCCAGCCAAAACCCCTGCAGCCAGGTTTGTACTGAGAAAGGTGTTTGTAGATACATGGTTTAGATGGTTTTCCCTTTCCCATTGTCATAGCATGAATGATTTCCTATGGATTTATAGCCTGTATAGCTTTGCCTTGCTTCCTACGTATGAAGCAAAAACAGCCTTTTACCATTTATGACTCTGGGTCTGCTATATGAAAAGACAAAACAACAACAAACAACCAAACTAACAAAAAAACAGACTTTTCACTTGAATATTAAATAAGTTTTTAGAGAGCCTGTATTATGCTTTCTCTCCTGTAGGGGGAGTTCTGGAGCAGCTGCCAAGCCAGATAGGGTGAAACTTTCTGGTCATAACACTAAACCTCAGCTCCCGCTCAACAAGTCTAAACAGGACAGTTTCTCTGATACTTTGAGGAAAGCTGAGGGTAAGGCATTACAGAGGCAAGTCTGGGAAACTGAAAATCCTTTCTTGGTGAGGTGTGAACAGGTTTTGCAAGCTACAATAAAAAAAAAAAAACTACACAGAGAAAATCTAAATCTTGATGATAAAAGAGGGCTTATACATTTTTCTGTTTAAGAAGTTCAAATATAATGCTGTTTAACTGAAGGTATAACATGCAAAACAGTGGTATTGATTACTTGAAATGCAGATGATTTGACATTAGTTGTTTAGCACCACTGTCATAAATATACAAATTTTCTTTACTTAAGGATTTTGGTTTCCAAGAACATTAAATGGGTACAATGTGGGATTCAAAACAATCTCTGTTCAGTTGCTGTGACAGACAAAATCCATGAGTCCAGTCTGATGAACCGCAGATCTCATGCAGCAAGACTGGGTCTGGCTCGAGCTTACTCGCGATCTTCAAACACCCAGGACCAAGCAAAACAGCTATACCAAGAGGTCATCGCAATGGCACCAGAGGTCAGTTATCTTTTATATTTGCATTTTAAAGCGTTTCCCAAAGTTTCACAATAGTCACATTAAGTAAGGATTTTATTAACATGTTCTTTCTCCCACCAACTCTGTGGAATAGCCACATGTTCTGCTGTTGGACTAGAAAATTAAACTATATATATTCAGATTTTAAAGTCTCGTGCTCAAGACTTGAAAGCGGTTACCCTTTGTTCATAAATCTTTGCCTGAAAAAAAGATCTCAATTATGTCTGAAGAAAATGTGCAGTATAATTCAAGACATTCAAAATATGAGGGAGAGATTCATATAGAACTAATAAAATGTCATTATTTGATCATTTGATTCAAATTTAGCTGAGATTTCTGAGTAAATACTTTCATACATCTCATGTACAGTGAATATAGTCATTCAAGAACATTTAGGAAAAAGATTTCCCATTACATGTCTTCGATATTTAGAAAACCTCTAAAAGTTGTAGTTTATATATTTTTAAAGAGTCTCATGCTCTTGGTGTTTATCTGGTTTAATGCAATGCACATCAAATATGATTAATGAACTGACCGTTTAGATCCATGATGCCTACATCGAGCTTGCGCAGCTGCTGGAGCCATCCGACCCTCACGCTGCTTTGGATGTATACTGCAAATTCCCTTTGAAGCCTGTGGCTCAGCAAAACTTCGAGGATGCCTTCATCACAGGAGAGATTGTGCGCATACTGATGTCTGAGGAGCAGTACGACCACCCACAGCTTGGCCCCAGCCTCATAGCTTATGGCAAAGTCATGGGCCTAAGTGATTACTTTTTATTATTATTATTATAAATACTATAAACACGTGGTATTAGCTTTGGAAAAAGTCAGACTTGAACAGTAAAAAGTTATTTACAGAAACCTTTAGAGTTTAAACAAAATGTCTAGTTAAATAACTTTTTAATGATTTTGAATGGACATGGGGAGCATCTACCTATAAAGTGTGAGTGTTGCTTATTAAGATTGCCAGCTACAGATACATTTTTAGGTGTAAAAAAAATACTGGTTTACCATGATTTTCTTTATAGGCAGCTGGACTATATTTACCAAATGTGTTGTACTGAAATCATGCCGCCAGACCCATGTGACATGCCATGTCGTGTTATTTATAGAGATGTATCACATTCAGCTGGTGTGATTGACAGATAGATGGCATATTGCATACTAAATAGTAATACATATATGGTGACTGCTGTCAAATAAACTGTGGCCACAGGGCAAGTCAGGATATAATGTAGTTATATAAAGATATTTAATATTTTGTCAGACACACCCAGACAATATGACATGCTACAATATTTTTGTCAGTGTGAGTAAACTAATTTTGTTATGCAAATCTGTGGTTGTGTTTGCAGGTTGCATAGAGAATTACATTCACATTTTGGATGGAAAGTCTAAGACCAAGCTGCTAAAGACCGTCTACGCGGGGATCCACAACAGACAAGAGGATGATGAGGATCTGCAGAACTTCTTCAAGTTCAAGTGCTGGATATGATGTTTTTGATTGTTTGCTGTGTTGATGTAATAAATTCGGAGTCTTGAGTTTAATTCTAGTCTCTTCTCCCTGGCTGCTGCATATGGTAGAGTATTCACCATCTAGCCTTTTAAATGGCCCCCCATATTTAATTTCAAAGTGTAATTGACCATTAATGTTGTCCTCAAAAGAAATGGGACACACTAACACTTATAGTAGCATGCAAATCAAAGGGGTGATGTGCAACTGTGTTTGGGCCTTTGTGTGTTCATAAACAAAACTACTTATCCTGACTACAATTACTACTGCAGTATGAAATAAGCCATTTGTATTTGGTTAAAGCAACTGAGAAATCTTTTTTTTTTTTATTCAAATACAGATTTAATTAGGAAAAACACCTCTTAAAAATGTCATGTCAAAAGCCACAACTTAAACAATAGACAAAAGTGAACTACAACAATGTTCACTGACAGTGCAACAACGGAAAACGTTTCAGTTTCCTCCTACAAAAACAGAAATTGATGAGAGAAAATAAATCTTGATCCCACAGTAATTCCAAGCCAGAGGCTACAGTTATTTTTCCATCCACATAGAGACTTTACAGGAAATGTATAATTGCGTTACAGGGATACTTCTCTGCAGTATAGGATAATATCATCTGCAGGGCTCAGCCAGACAATACACATTTTTTAGGGATATCATTTAACATAGGGGGAAGAAATGGCCAAACTCAAGTTTCCCAGTTAATCTAAAATACTTTTTAAAGGAGTATTGATTGAAATGGACATGAGCAGTCTCCGGGACTTGCAGTAGAAAATTGGTGTCTTCTACTAAAAGACTACTCGTCATTAAGCCTGTGACTTGCACTCGGGTGGTGCAGCACTGCAGATACTTGTTTGTTTTTTGTTTTTCCCATATTAGGCTGCAAAGATCACAAAAAGTCTTTTATGCAGTGCAGTTGTTAAACTATGTTGAGTTTAGTGACAATAAGTACACGGACAGACTGGTCAAAACCCGAACACACACACAGGCCCTGCTTGTCTGGGCTCCAGTCCAGGCTGGCAATTGGCTGAGTAGACAGAGTGACATTCTGTAAGAGGTTGACAGATCCAGCTACACCTACGTCAACACCATCAGAGTCTTTCTTGCATCTCTGAGCAGGATACTCACTGGAAAGGACATCAAAACACAAAAAAATTATGGTTAGTTTACAGTTCACAGGAAAGAACAAGGTGTCTGTTGACTGACTTAACTGGTTACTTACTATTTCCATAGATGTAGGTTGCCGGCTCCTCCTGTGGTCATAAAGATGTCTCTGTTCTGAGGCAAATGTCTCACCTGCCAAATGGTCGACTTATGAGCCTAAAACAGAAGAGTCATGTTTAGTACATAAAGTGTACCGAAAGACTGTAAAGAAAACCTTTCAACCACTTTAGACTGATAACAGTCACAAAGTGTGACTTGTGCTGTTTTTAGAGGTTCCTGTTTTGACTCTTCTTTAGTATAGACTTAAATTCAAAACACAAGTTAAATTTATATCATCAGTGGAATAGTCCGATCTCTGACATTGCATCTTTCCCTTGCTTCCATTGCCAAAAATGCTTCATTTTCCTTGCTTCAGCTGGACAAACTGAATTTGAAAAAGCTTTTGTTTTGTATATGCGAAGTATCTCCACAAAAAAATATTTTGCATTAAAACACACAAAATATCTAGACATACGAAAAGACATTAAAAAGCGAAACAGAAAAACCTCGGAATCCACGTGAAAGAGGCTGCTCTTGATGCTTTGAAAATGACTGAAATTTTGACTATAATAACCATCAATACCATATTAATGGCGCCATCTCCAACAACGATGAGGCGGCCTACATGGATGAAGTGAAGAATCTGGCATCATGATGCCAGGACAACCATCTCCAGCTGAACCTTGGCAAGACCAAGGAGCTGGTGGTGGACTTCAGAAGGAGTCAGCACAGAGACTACAAGCCCATTATCATCAATGGCGCTCCAGTGGAGAGGGTGCAGTCCTTCAAGTATCTCAGTGTCCACATCTCCTCAGACCTGACATGGTCTGCCTACATTCAGCTCCAGACCAAGAAGGCTAGGCAGCGCCTGTACCACCTACGACAACTGAGGAAGTTTAGGGTCTCTCCTGAGATCCTCAGGATTTTCTATACAGGCGTTGTGGAGAGCATCCTCACACAGAACATCACATCCTGGTTTGGGAACAGCTGTGTTAAGGACCAAAAAGCTCTTCAGAGAGTACAGCAGAACGCTGCTGCAGGATTGCTCTCCCCCCGCTTCAGGACACCTACACCAGGAGATACCGGACTAGAGCAGCGCAGATACAGAAGGACCCGTCCCATCCTGGCAACACACTGTTGTCTATTCTTATTTAATTCACTTAATGTACAGAATTCACCTGCTTGCTGCATACATGCTACTACTGCACATTCACCTAATGTATATATTATATATAATGTCTGTCCCCCCCCCCGTTGCACAAGTCGAGGAGCGTGTCAGGTTACATTTCACTGTGCGTTATACTTGTATAACTATGCATGTGACAAATAAAGAACCTTGAACCTTGTAAAGTCCATCTTGTATTTTAGTCTGAAATTCTTGGTGGAACCTTATGACTCATGGTTGGAGACACTGGTGTGCCAACTGTTGATTGCTCAGAAGAACTGGACAAATATTTAGAAAGCCAGGCCCCTGGATTTCCTGGGCCTAGCTAACACTTGGAAAGCTGGCCGTGCACTAATCCTGGTTTAAGTGTAGTTTTTCCAGCGTTTTCCCACAGAAAGCCACACATCTCTTCCCTAACATGCCCAGTCTCATTATTCGGGCCGGTTACACAAAGGTAGTTAGACAAACATGACCCCAAACACTTCCAGCTGTAAAAACGGTCAAATTGCCGTTTGCCCCCATTTCTTTCTATACCACACAAATGTAACAATAACAATAATAGTTCTAATAGCCTTTTGACATTTTCCCCATACATAACAGCCAAACATCCATCTGAGTCACTCCACCCAGGTTAATTACCTTTTCAGAAACCGAGGCGAAGCCTTTGGTAGGGTGCTGGGTCCTCATGTCAAAAACGTGGAATTTTCCCTCCAGTGAAGTGGCCACCAGCTTGTTCATGTTGATGTCTTTCCTGTCAAACTCCACACAACATACCTAGTCAAGAAAAAAAAATATATATAAATGAGTCACTCCCTGGATATTTACCACATGGCAAAGCTCCATCACAAATGATTTTACCATGCAGTAGAATGTGTTGAACTTGGCATAATGACTTCTGGCAGGTTTATACACAAGAGGAACTGAATGAAAGAGACAGCCATGTAATAAAATCAGAGCAATTCTTTGTACTGCTTATGGCATGTGAGGAAGTATTCACCTCAGACTGCCCTGTTGTTTTATGTGCAGTGTAAATGATGTGGGAAGTCATTTTCAGCTCTGTCTCCACATTTCACACCGTTTTTGTCTGCATTATAGTTCAAAATCTGTTATTTGTGCAAAGGAAATATTATGTGCCAAAAGAATTCAACCCTTAAAAAAAGCATTAGCTTTAACTATTTTGATTCATGTTTGGTTGAATCAGAAAAAAAAAAAAAGTAGAACATGTATATATGCCACATACTGACAATTTTTTCTTTCACCTCACCCCATTTTTAATGTTCGTTTCCCACCGTAGAGACATATTCCGCAGATCGAAGAGTTTGATGTCACCATTGTCATATCCAGCACAAACACAGCGGTCCTGATCATTAAAGGCATGACCTGAAATGTAAATGTAAAGGATATTTTAAGCCTGGGAAAGATCACTGAAAACAAACACAAAGGCACAACATAGGTTTATGGCTGCATTTTCATAGGTGTTCATGCTCATGTGCTTTTTTTTTTTCACTGTACCATCTGTTTGCACCTTTTGTGTTTGGAGGGCATGGATCAGGATGTTCTTAAAAAAGTATACATGAAAAACAAACAAAAACAAAAGTTTTGTTTGTCATATCTTATCAGTTATGTGCAGTGCATTACAGCAGCTTTATTTATGGTGGCTGATAGGTTAGCATTGTTGCTTCACGGAGTGTCCTTTGTCTGACCCAGAACAGGGTGCTTCTCTCTGGAGTTTGAATACTCTCTCCTGACATTGTACCTTTGACCAAGGGACTAGCTGGAATTTGGGCTTTGTTCTGCTGTTTAAAATTCAGAGAAATAATCCCCTTTACTAAGTATAAAGAAATCCCTCAAATTGTACACAATAGAATATATGATAAATATTTTTTTTACTGCTTCTTAGAATTAATATAACCTATGACTGTATCAGTTCTTATCACTATCAAAAATGCATTACAGTCCTGTCTCTGTGGATACAGATAAAGTGGAGAGCATGTTTTTAAACTTTACTTGTGGATGTTGGTACTTCGGTCCTCAAGAAAATAATGTTCTGTGAGGACCCTGTTAAGGGGCACAAGCTGTAACAGTGTCCTTTATACTACCACAACTATTGCAGGAGCCTTAACCTCTTCAGACCTTATGTTCTTTTCTGCACACCATGGAAGTAGGGGAAGCACCAGCACTATCAACTTAGTTTCTGAAGAATATTTTACAAACCAAAAGCAACAGTCCAGCAGTCCCTCTTGGTTTCTCCTTCCATTGGCTCCATGTTGGCTACAGGGGAATCCTTCTGTCTGGGATCCCACACCTTGACTGTACCTATTAAAATACAATCATGTAGGATCTAGTCTTATTTTCATGTACTTTACTTTCCCACTATCATTGCACTGAAAAGTAATTACAATCTAGTTTGTTTGTTTTTTAAATGCTCTTACCATCTCTGCTTCCAGTAACGATCTCAGGCGCACCATCACCAATCCCCAGACCACCAACACCATCAATACTATTCACGATCTCTTTGTGGGCCTTTACAGCATATACGGGCACATCCGGGGTCTCTAGATTCCTGTGAACCACAGGACATCAGTACTGAATAAGTCTAATGTCGACGTAACAGATTTTTAAAATAACATTTCCATTACATTTTTTCTATTCC